ACCCACCCCATCCCTACACACACACACACACACCTATTCTTTGTATTTTTTCTCAGGCACTCTCTTGAACTGCCTTCTTGTACTTGTGGGTTTGTTTGAAACCACCTATCTCCGTTGGAAGTGAATGAGGCACAGGCATTAAAAAAATGACTCAAGCGAAGAGAAAAAAGATGCTTGTCCAAATAATGGCAAAGTTGACCCAGAGGTTTCTGTCTGAACCACAATTAGTTAACATTTCCATAAATGCTAGGAGAAGCACAAAGAGGGAAGGCATGGTGAAAAATCTGGACCCAAAGTTGGCATTCAGCTTCTCCAAGCAGTGAAATTGGGAAGCAACCTGGAGAAACTTAAGGAATTTTCAGCAGCTGTTGACTGGCGAGAGAAGCTCCACTATGCACCTGTGAAACCAGTAAAGCTGAGACAAGTCTCAGTTAATTTAGAAAGTTTATTTTGCCAAGGTTGAGGACGCGCCCATGACACAGCCTCAGGAAATCCCGACAATGTGTGCCCAAGGCAGTCAGGGCACAGCTAGGCTTTATACATTTTAGGGAGACAGGAGACATCAAGTACATTAAGGCAGGACAACTCAAAGCAAAGGCAGAAGACTAGAAGTGGGGAGGAGCATTCTTTTGAGTTTCTGATGAGTCTTTCCAAAGGAGGTAATCAGATATTTCTCTATCGGCCAGGCATCATGGCTCATGCCTGTAATCCTAGCACTTTGGGAGGCCGAGGCAGGTGGATCACAAGGTCAGGAGATCGAGACCATCCTGGCCACAGTGAAACCCCATCTCTACTAAAATGCAAAAAATTAGCCGGGGGTGGTACCATGAGCCTGTAGTCCTAGCTATTCAGGAGGCTGAGGCAGGGGAATCGCTTGAACCGGGGAGACAGAGGTGACAGTAAGCCAAGATCGCACCACTGCACTCCAGCCTGGTAACAGAACAAGACTCCGTCTCAGAAAAAAAAAAAAAAAAGAAGAAGAAGCTACGCATCTATCTCAGTGAGCAAAGGGGTGACTTTGAATAGAATGGGAGGCAGGTTTGTCCTAAGCAATTTCCATCTTGAGTTCTCCTTATTGATTTTAGGGGCCTGAGGTACTTTCCTTTCACATACCTGAAATAATGAATTTAGGCAGCTCCATCCCTAACATTTGGAGGCCAGGGCTGGAATACAAATGGAAGCCCACATACCATGTGTCTTAATATCTTAGCATTCTAAAGCAAGCTCAAAAAGCTATCAAATCAAATGTGTCTAATCTTCCCTCCTGAACAAAACACCATCTTACCAACCTGGAAGCCAGGTTAGCATGTGGGATTCTCAGAAGTTCCACACTAAAATGTAGCAGGCTAGGGACAGACAACCTCCTGTCCCCAGCCACCCTCCCACAAGCTTCTCTCCTTCTCCTCCTACCCTTGCACACCCCAACCCCAAAGGCTCTCAGATGAATACATGAGGCTCCACATCAGCTCTGTCCACAGCGCCCGCCAACAGTCACCCCTTGGCCACACCACAGACCTAGGGACACAACAGTAACAGTGACCTTGGGGCAAAGTGCAGTCAGTCTACAGGAGAAACAGGAGCCTTTGGCCTTGTGGACACATTGCTTCATGGGGAGGGGCACAAGCAGAGGAGGAGCAGGCCTAAGGGAGGTCCTAGGTTTAGGAAGAGATAATTCAACAATGCTTGTAAATAGATCAGTGCTGAGCAATCCATGATGGCCTAGGTAAAAAGCTCTTAGAGTCATTGCCAATGGATTTCTTTCTTTCTTTCTTTTTTTTTTTTGGAGACAGAGTTTTGCTCTGTCACCCAGGCTGGAGTGCTGTGGCATGATCTTGGGTCATCGCAACCTCCGCCTCCTGGGTTCAAGTGATTCTCCTGCCTCAGCCTCCCCAGTAGCTGGGATTACAGGTGCCCACCACCACACCCAGCTAATTTTCGTATTTTTAATAGAGATGGGGTTTCACCATGTTGGCCAGGCTGGCCTGAACTGCCGACCTCAGGTGATCTGCCCATCTTGGCCTCCCAAAATGCTAGGATTACAGGCGTGAGCCACCATTCCCAGCCATTGTCAATAGATTTCTGAAACTGATAAAACAGACCATGACCAATGTCAGAGGATCATCCTGCCCCCCACCTCAAGCCAAGGTTCAGCTGAATCTGAAACACCAAACCCTGCGTGCACCCCTGCACCCCACTGAGTCAGAAAAGGTCCTGAGAAGACAGGACTGTTTCCTATGATAAAAACTGATGGAAACTTGTCACCCTGGAAAGGAAAAGGATAAAAGCGAAAAGAATTAGAATCTGTCATGTTCTTTAGGACATGAATGAGGGGAACGTGGATGGACTACCTCTCGCATTTTGGAATATTTTCTCTAGAAAACACTTCTTAAAGCCTGAGGAAGTTAGATTATAGATGTAAATTGTTAAAACCACTGCAAATAACAAACAAATGAGTTCTCTAACCCAGGAGGAAATAAAAGCCGGAGAGGCTCAGGAGGTGGGTGGGGGCACAGTCAGGGGACATCCAAAGTCAACACCATGGACAACCTCATAGTCAGCAGACACCGATACGGATTCCCTTCCACGCCATTGTCAAAGTTTAACAGTGGCTGGGCCTGACCCAAGGAGGCTCGGTCAATCTCTGTGCTTTTATGGTATTGTTGTTTTTATGTCTTTATGTTTTTATAAGTCCAGCTAAAGTGTGCATCTCCTAGTCCTTTTAAACAGCCTTTAATTCTTGTCTTTGGGAAGAGTCCACTGTCCACTTTGAATCTAAGGCATTGGCTGGGCGTGGTGGCTCACACCTGTAATCCCAGCACTTTGGGAGGCCGAGGCAGACAGATCACGAGGTCAGGAGTTCAAGACCAGCCTGGCCAATACGGTGAAACTCCATCCCTACTAAAAATACAAAATTAGCTTGGTGTTGTGGTGGGTGTCTGTAGTCCCAGCTACTCAAGAGGTTGAGGCAGAAGAATTGCTTGAACCTGGGAGGTGGAGTTTGCAGTGAGCCAAGATAGCGCCACTGCACTCCAGCCTGAGCGACAGAATGAGACTCCATCTCAAAAAAAAAAAAAAGAAACTGAGCCATTTATCCACTCACCCATTCATTCATCCATTCATTGAGGGTACCAGCCTCTGGGTGCATGTAGCATTCTTCTCAGCTGTTTATGATTTTCTTTCAAACCTTTCACCTGAACTTCCAAGCTAATTATTGCCCCTACTCCCTCCCAGTTCAGACCTCAGAGGAAGGCGCCTTCCCCCTCTTTTCCAGAATCTGCTTTTCTTTGAAAAGTTATCTGCTCCTTGCTCTAAAGCCAAGTGTGAAAGACACATACCAGCCATCTGATTTTGTTTTCTTCTACAGACTGGTTGTTTGGGGTTCTCCCACGCAGGAGATCTATGGACATCGTGTTAGTCCTGGTCTTCCAAAGAGGAGAGTTAAAAGGGAATTAAGCCAGGCACGGTGACTCATACCTATAATCCCAGCACTTTGGGAGGCCAAGGCAGGCAGATCATTAGGTCAGGAGTTCGAGACCAACCTGACCAACATGGTGAAACCTCATCTCTACTAAAAATACAACACTTAGCCGAGTGTGGTGGTGTGCACCTATAATCCCAGCTACTCAGGAGGCTGAGGCAGGAGAATCGCTTGAACCTGGGAAGTGGAGGTTGCAGTGAGCTGAGATCAAGCATTGCACTCCAGCCTGGGTGATAGAGCAAAACTCTTGTCTAAAAAAAAAAGGAAATTAAATATGCAAGAGTTTTACTGGAGGAAATGCCTATGAGAAAAACAGAGTAGATGCCAGGGAGGCCGGGAGAGCCTTCACACCATGATGCAGGTTGTCTGTGTGTCTGTGTGCATATGTATGTGTTTGCATGCATGTGTGTGCATATCTGTGGCTGTGTTTGTGTTTATATTTGTGTGTATATTTGTGCATGCATGCATGTTTATGTATATGCTGCATGTCTGTGAATGTGTGTGCCTGTGTGTCAGTGCCTGGGTATATGTGTCTGTGTGCATGTGCACGTCTGTATGTGCATATGTATGTGTATATATGTGTTTGTGCTACACATGTCTCTGTGTGTTCATGTGGATCTGTGTGTACATGTCTGTGTATGTATGTCTGTTTCTGTTTCTGTGTGTGTACATGTGCATCTGTGTCTCTGTTCATATCTGTGTACATGTGTTTCTGTGTGCATGTTTGTGTGCACGTGTCTGTGTATATGCATGTCTGTGCAAATGTGTGTTTCTCTGTTTCTGTGTGTGTGCATGCGTGCTTGTATTTGTATATGTGTGTACATGTTGGTACATGTGCTTCCATGTGTGTCTGTGTCTGTGTGCATGTGCACATTCTGTGTGTATGTGCACGTGCATGTGTGTATTCTTTGTGTATTGTATGCATGCATGTGTGTTTCTGTGTGTACACGTGTTTTGTGTGTCTGTTTGTGTCTGTGTGGATATGTGTGTCCTCTCTGTGTGTGCATCTGTTTGTGTGTGTGCATGTGTGTTCTGTGTTTCCCTGTGTACATGTTTTTGTGTGCATGTGTTGTACATATGTGTCTGTGTATGTATTTCTGTATGCATGTGTGTTTCTGTGTGTGTCTGCGTGCATGTGTGTGCTCTGTGTGTGCATTTCTATTTGTGTGTGCATGGGTGTTCTGTGTGTGTATACATGTGTTTTTCTGTGTCTGCATGTGTGTCTGTGTCTTGTGTATGTGTGTTTGTGTGTGTGTGTGTGTGCATGTTGTACACATGCATGCTTAGAAAAAACCCACTCCCGCAGCCACAGGGACATCTCTGAGGCTGACTCACATTGCAGCCCCTCATCCCTCTCTCTGTTGCTCCCTTCCAGACCATCCTGGTTGGCGACAGTGGCGTAGGAAAGACGTCTCTGCTGGTTCAGTTTGATCAGGGCAAGTTCATCCCAGGCTCCTTCTCAGCCACTGTGGGCATCGGATTCACGGTAAGCACTGGCCAGCACTGCCAGCTCTGCACCTGGGCTCAGGGTCCCATTGTGTTTCTGCTGAGTGCCAGCAGGAAACAGGTGGACACCACTCACATTGGCTCATTCATGGAGCATTAATAAGAAGACTGTTCCCTGAGGGGCAGGAGGGTGTTGGGAGGCCAGGAGGGAGGGTGAACTGCCCCTGGGTAGTCCAGGAACTCCGCTCACCTCTAGCCTCAAGCAGGAAGGGAAGGCACCCTCACCAGAACCCAGGGGCAAAGAGGACTGTTGGGTGAGCCACCTGGCAGGAGCTGCATGGGACCTTCAGTGGACGAACCAAGCAGCCCATGGGAGCCCCCCCAGGGAGGCAGCCAGGAAAACAACCCCCTGTTCATCCTCACTCTCCTCCTGCTCTCCATCTCCTTCTGGTACTCCACACTGGATTAACGCAAGTGGAAGCCAGAAAGCAAACAAAAACCTTAATAAGGGATCGCTCAGGTCAGCCCTCCAAGGCAAGAAGATTCTGGAGGGACAAAGGGACAACAAAGTTTTCAGCACAGTCCAAACTTAGCATTGATTGACACATGGTTCTCAAGGAGCTGGCAGGCCGAGGTTACAGTTCCGTGTTTAGAACTTGATAAAATGGTAAAAGGGCGGCTCAGGTTAAGGAAGCCCAGCATCCTCCCAGTGCCCTCCCAGCGCCCCAGGCTTTTTCTGCCCACAGCCCTTCTGTGGGCCAATAGATTCCTTCTCTCCCACACATCCCATCTCCAGGCACTGCCTGCGGCCGCAGCTGCCCTAAAATTCCTGGGAAGACCTTGGGAGAGGGTTCCACTCCTCTCTCAGACTGTGGCAGGAGGAGCAGGGCCCTCCCTTGGGACCCCAGAATCCAAGCATCCCGAGGATGGAGAAGAGCAAACATCTCTTCTTGGGTAATGCAGATGTTTGGGAGCTTCTGGGACCGGAGCACAGGGCCTGTGAGGTCACACTCGGGGTCGGGTCACAGCAGTGCCATGCTGATGGGAAGAGAGAGAGGAAAACCCAGAAAATGGGCTTGCCCACTGGGTCACAGTCAGGAAGACAGGGGTTCAGAACGGACATGGTTTCCGGGTAACCTTCCAGGAGGCAAAGTGGAAGCAAGTGCCTGGCTCAGATGTGTTCTGGGGCCTGGAATCATCCCTGAAATACCAGTGTCCAGGAAGGGAAGGCCGACTGGGAGCGGCTGGGCTCCAGTAGTGCTGAATAGGGCAGGGCTGAGACCCAGCAGGCCAAGGCTGCCTGGCAATCCCTGTGGTCTTGAACCACACTGTCATGAAGCGGACCAGGATGACCTGGTGCCAGACGTCACCCGCCCCAGCCCAGGCCCAGTCTGCCCTCAGCAGCCAAGGCACACCCTGCCCTCAGAGGCACACCACATCTCCTCACCCACCCTTCTCCCTGTCTGGTGAGGAGGGAAGAGTTGGGTGAATGTGGCTGAATTAGACATGCAAAATCTGATTCACATTCCACAGACCACAGAAGTGAAATCTCCAAATTTTGCAACTAGCTTGGAAAGAAAATTGGGGCCAATTTCTTTTGAAGGAAACAGAAAGTGTGTGGTCAAACTATGAGCCTACAGTGCTGAGACAGGACAGGCTGGGCTTTCCCCCGGACACGGTCAGCACCCAATGTCCTGGTGTATCTCAGGACAACCTGTTGGCTGCTTACACAGGTGGGGGCCTGAGGCCCTGGCCAGAAACTCAGCCTGGGGACACCTGAGCAAAGAACTGGAGGACATCGGGGTCTCCTCCAGATATCAGCGGTCTGGGGGTCCCCAGAGAGCCAGGCTACCAGATACTCGTTTACCCATCTGTCCTTCACACTGAGGTTTGATATTGCATGGATAAGGGCCCTATCACCGACCAGGCTGAAGCCTGGAACTCCTGTGTGATGGGAAGGGAGGCAGAAGCTCAGGAGGCTGAGTGCGGCCCAGGTGCCAGGGGAGGGATGGAGACCCTGGTCTCCCACTTTGGAGGAGCCAGAGGTGAGCAAGGTAACTGCCTGGGGCGTGCCTTCACCCCATAACTACCAGACCCACTGCCTTCTGGAAGTGGGATCTCCCCAGGTCCTGTGTAGATGCCTCTCAGCCAAGACCTTCCCTAAATTTTCCAGCACCAGCTCTATCAAACTGGCTGTGGGGGTCCTGCCAATGCGGTTATGGGGCACTGACATCAGTAGGGTTCACACAGGGGTCTTTCCAGCCAGCCCCTCCCACCACAGTTCAGGTCCTCCTTGTTACTTCTCTCCTCAGTTTCCCCCAAATTCCCTAGTCTTGCCTTAAGACTGCTGCAAAATTCCTCTTTCAAAACCCTCACTCAGGCCAGGCATGGTGGCTCACGCCTATAATCCCAGCACTTTGGGAGACGGAGGCGGGCAGATCACTTGAGGCCAGGAGTTTGAGACCAGCCTGGCCAACATGGCAAAACCCCGTCTCTACTAAAAATACAAAAATTAGCCAGGCGTGGTGACGTGAGCCTGCAGTCCCAGTTACTTGGGAGGCTGAGGCAGGAGAATAGCTTGAACAGGGAGGCAGAGGTTGCAGTAAGCTTAGATAGCGCCACTGCACTCCAGCCTAGGCAACAGAGCGAGACTCCATCTCAAAAAAATAAATAAATAAAATACCCTCACTCTGCTCATCCCCTGCCTGAATGTGTCCGCAACAGGTGGGGTCCCCACGACCCACTCTCCCAGGGGGGACTCGCCCAAGGCTACCCTTGAACACCCTGCAGGATGTTACAGAGGCCCTGGGGAGAGTGTACGCACCCTCCAAGTATGACATTGCCCACACACCGCAGACCCAGCAGGCCAGACAGGGACTGCCTGGAGGAGAGCCCGCAGTTCCTCTCCCCTGTGCAAGGACGTCTTCTCTTGATCAGAATCCTCCATCCAAACTAGCGCAGCAATGCAGCAAGGACTGTTCCTTCTGGATGACTCACACTGATGTTCAACCGTCTCTATTCCAAACCCACCAGAGGACACAGAGGGCCTTGGAGCCAACAACACAAACCACAGCTGGAGGCTAGAAATCTGAACTCAAGGTACCGGCAGGGCCATGTTCCCTCTGAAGACTCCAGGGAAGGGTCCTTCCTTCCTCTTCTACGGCCCTGGCGGCTCCCAGGAGCCCTTGGCGTTCCTTGGCTTGTAGCCACATGGCTCATTTTGCCTCTGTCTTCACCTGGCCAGCTTTTCCCTGTGTCTCTCTCTTCTCATGACACCAGTCATACTGGATCAATGGCCCACCCTACACCCGTATAACCTCATCTTAATGAATATCTGCAATGACCACATTTCCGAGTAAGGGCATGATCTGAGGGGCTGGCGGTTCAGACTTCAACCTATCTCTGGGGGACACAATTCAACCTATAACAGCATGGTTTACAGTAGAAGGTGAGCATGGGACATGCCCCCATCCCCCCTCTCATTCTTTCTCCACCGTTTACCTCCTGCAATGAAAACCCGCATCCGGATCAGGGACGGTGGCTCACGCCTGTAATCCCAACACTTTGGGAGGCTAAGGTGGGCAGATCACCTGAAATCAGGAGTTCAAGACCAGCCTGGCCAACATGGTGAAACCCTGTCTCTACAAAAATTTGCCAGGAATGAGGGTGGGCACCTGTAATCCCAGCTACTCAGGAGGCTGAGGTGGGAGAATGGCTTGAACCTGGGAAGCAGACATTGCAGTGAGCCAAGATCCTGCCATTGCACTTCAGCCTGGGCAACAGAGCTCCATCTCAAAAGAAAAGAAAAGGAAAGAAGGAAGAAAGGAAAAAAGGAAGGAAGGAAAGAGGGAGGAAGGAAGTGAGGGAAAGAAAATCATATCCCAGGTCAGGTGCAGTCGCTGTAATCCCAGCTTGTAATCCCAGCACTTTGGACTTTGGGAGGCCAAGGCGGGCATATAGCCTGAGTTTAGCAGTTCAAGACCAGCCTGGCCAACATAGTGAAACCTTATCTCTACTAAGAATACAAAAATTAACCAGGCCTGGTGGTGGGTGCCTGTAGTCCCAGCTGCTCCAGAGGCTGAAGCAGGAGAATTGCTTGAACTTGGGAGGCAGAGGTTGCAGTGAGCTGAGATCCCACCACTGCACTCCAGCCTAGGTGACAAAGTGAGGCTCCGTCTCCGGGAGCCCAGGGCATTGAGCAGACCTGGCATTATTTGCAGCAAGAGCCTCTGGCATCCAAATAGCAATCAACACCATGGCTCTGTAGCAGGCTGTACAGCCTCCTCTCCGGTCGGTGGCTCCCCGTTTGAGTCCTGCCCTATGCCCAGCTGAGGTTATAGCATGCCCACCTCCAGAAGAAGTAACCCACACTTCTCACTGGAGATCAACTCTGTCCCCACTCAGGGCACTTCTCCCAGCTGCCAGACAATAGCTCCAACTGATGTCAAAAAAATACAGGGCTGGAGGCTGGTGTGCAAAGTCAGTTCCCACAGGCCTAGGGTGGCCCATAAGCCACGTGTGCCCCTGCTCTTCACCTCCACACTTAAGAAGTGCAGGCCGGGCACAGTGGCTCATGCCTGTAATCCCAGCACTTTGGGAGTGTAGGAAGGGGAGGATCACCTGAGGTCGGGAGTCTGAGACCAACTTAGCCAACAGGGTGATGGCTAATCCAAAAACATTAGCCGGGCATGGTGCCGCGCACCCATAATCTCTGTTACTCAGGAGGCTGAAGCAGGAGAATAAGTTGAACCAGAGAGGCAGAGGTTGCAGTGAGGCAAGATCGCACCAATGCACTCCAGGCTGGGAGACAGAGTGAGACTCCGTCTCAAAAAAAAAGGTGCCGGTACCTCTCTTCAGCTCTCCTCTCTCTACACACCCCTGAAACAGTCCCTCTGTAAAGCACCCGTCCTGTTCCTTGGTAACCTGAAGCTGCTTACAGAATGTGGAGATGCCGGTAATGGAAAGGGCGGCCCAGGTCACAGAGCCCCTGAGCTTTGCTACTGGCAACCCCAGACACACTCCCCATCCTCTGTCACCAGGAGCTGCCGGGTGCCTGGGATATCCTGGCAGCTCTGCTCAAAATGATCCACGACTTCTTGAATTCATTTGGCTCCTCCTCCGGGCCAAGGTGTCACAGGTTAAGAAGGCCCGCCCCGCCTTCAGGAGCCGTCCACTGGGAGATGTGTGCTGCGCTCTCCCCTGGTGGGACGTTCTGGGTACAGCCCAACAGGCCAGGGTGATCCAGGGTCAAAGTCCCCGCACCAGCCAGAGGCCCTAAAACACCTCAGCTCACTTGTGCTGCAAGACGAGTGTGGGTTGGTTAATAAAACTATGTTCAGATGAGCTCCGGCCGGGTGCCTTAGCAGAAGCGGAACTGTCTGGGCGCTATTCGCGGAGGCGCAGCCCAGGGGTCCCCAGTTCCCCGCCTCACCAACTGGGGACCGCCCACGGCCCGGAGCTCGGGCGCCGCCTGCTGTCGCGCTGCGCAGCGGCTACGGGAACGCGGGGCGCGCTTCCCTGGGGGCAACCAAGCCCGCAGCTGGCGACCACAGGGGACCGGAAGATGTGGCCCACGCCCACGGAGCCGGGCCGGTGTTGCTCGGGGAGGCCGTCGTCCCTTGGCGCCAACTCCGCGGCTCTGCGCACCCTCGGGGAACAACCAGCTCCTGCCGGTGGCGTCGAGGGGGCGGCGGGAAGGAGGGAGGAGCCTGCGGGGTCCTGGTCTAGGGAGGGGAGGAGTGGGCGGGGCAGTTCCTGCGCTCTCCCTCGCCTGCGGGCCGGCCGTGCTCACCTCTCGTCTGGGGACATGACGGGCACGGCAGGCGCCACTGCCACCCGGGATGAAGAGGCCCCCAAGCGCTCCCCGCCCTGCAGTCCGAGCTACGACCTCACGGGCAAGGTGGGTGGGCCTTCTCCGTGAGACCCCCGCCCTCCTCGGCGCAAGCCCCTTCCTGGCTGCGTCAGGGTTGGACTCAGCCCTTCGCCCGCGGGTATCTGGGTCTCCTAGAGGTGAGAGGGAGAAAGGGTCAGGACACAGCCCTTGGGGGTGTCTGCTAGTTCGGTGGGGGAGGGGCGCGGAAGATCGCCAGGACTGAGTGATACCCCGCCGGCCCCAACTCTGTTCTCTTCTGCCACACTCTGGCCGATTTGAGCCCCCGGAAGCCCTTGCTGCTTGGTGAGGGTTAAGCTCGCAACTCTCATGATTGGGAAGCGCTGGGAGCTCAAGCTGGAAAGCGCTGGGAGATGGGGACCGCACGGAGACTCGGAGAGGACGTCCCCTGCTGGCGGAGCAACTGGCGGTAATGTCATTTTCCAAGCTAAGCTCTAAGCTGAGATCTGACATCCAGGTTTGAGGCCTGAGGGCCCCCAGCTGCTCCCCTCCCTTTCCACCCACTCCAGGAACTGCCTCCCCACCTTCCTCTCTCAATCGGAAGCCCATCCTCCCAGAAGGAGGTTGCCAGCCGGCCTGCAGCCCACCTGGGAATTCTTCCAACCTGAGAAAGATCTCAGTGGATGGTCTCTCACATCCTGCACTTGAGAGAGCTCCTGGGCTGCTCTCTGGGGCTTGCTCCCTCTACAGGGGTGCCTTGTATGGAAGCGGGTGGGGGCAGCAGTGGACACTGGTCTCTTCCATCTGTGTCTTTAGAGTGAGAAGTTACCAGAAACTCTGAAAGAATTGCTGAGGGAGCCTAGAGCTTCTGCTTCTCCTCTGCAGGGTTAGGGGTGGCGTTAGGGCTATCCTGGATTCTGCTGCATGGCCTTGAAGGAGACCTGCCTCTCTCTGTGCCTCGGTTTCCTCCCCAACACCAGGGCTCACCCTTGCTGGAAGCCTCAGCCTCCACCCCAGTGTTTCAGGGGAAGCCACTCAGCAAGTCATCTGCCCAGAGCCGTTGAGATAGGCGTCCTGTGTGGGCTTGTGGCAGGAAATGGGCCCCTCCACCCTTGGGGAAGGGGGAGCTGCTGCTGCCCAGTCCCCAGGGTGAGGGGGACTGCCTGATCTTGTTGCCCTGCAAACCAGCTGGGTTGTTTGCCTAGGAGGTGGCCAGGCTAGGCAGCTGTTTGTGTTTGGTGGAATCACCAAGCTGGGTGGGTAGCTGGCATCGTTTGCTCAAGGCAGCTGTGATCTGTAAAGTACACAAAGACTGGCCCTCCCTCCCTCCTTCCTGCTCCGGGACTGGAACCCAGGAGCCAGGGAGGAGTGCAGGCTCCAGAGAGCTCCTATCCCCCACCAGGCCATCTGTTCCTAGGCCAAGCAACATTGGCAGGAGAGTTGGCCCCCCGCCTCCCCAGAACTGCCTCAGGGGACTAAGCCCAGGACCCTCTGAGTGCCTGGCAGGCACTCCTTGGACCAGACGGGTGATGGGGGCCACAGGCAGGCAGTTCCCACCCCTGGGCCAACTCTTCCCTGGGTCTTAGGTGGTTCACACCACGATGACTGGCCCTAGCCATGACCAGACTCTAGAAAGGCCTCAAAGAAATGATCCCTCCTCCTTCTACTGACTATGGAAGCCATGGCACAGAAAGGTTAAGGAATCTTCCTGCAGTCACACAGTAGGCCATTTACAAACCAAGACCCATCCTTCATACCCCTTCTGCTCAGCCGCCCCTGCCTTTCCACCACAGTTAACTAATCCCAGTACCCCATGCCAACAGCAGGAATGCCTTTGGGCTCCACAGTCAAATTCAGAGCCTCAAAAATAATTCAAACTTGGTCCCCACTCAACCCATGAAGCCATCTAACCAGCGGTTGGGAAAAGCCAGCATTGGGTCTAGACCCCTGTTCTCCTAGACTAGGGAATGATGGGACAAAGGGCTCCTCTCCACCATTCCTGTGTGTCCCTGGAGAAGATGAGCAGAGCCTCACCAGATGGTAAAGGAGAGGGCCACACCCCTCCACAGGTTCCCTCCCTGGCATTCCTGCCCCCGCTACCCACAGCAACCCCAGAATGCTGATCTCCAGCCATGCGTCCCACATGGAAGGTTTCTGCTGAAAGAACTTCTGACTACACATCTCCTCACTTTAGTATAAATTTCAACCTTCCCTACTTCATGCAATTTTTTTTTTGAGATGGAATTTTCCTCCTATTGCCCAGGCTGGAATGCAATGGCATGATCTCGGCTCACTGAAACCTCCGCCTCCCGATTTCAAGCTATTCTCCGGTCTCAGCCTCCTGACTAGCTGGGATTAAGGAGCATGCCACCATGCTGGCTAATTTTTGTATTTTTAGTAAAGATGGGGTTTCATCATATTGGTCAGGCTGGTATAGAACTCCTGACCTCAGGTGATCCACCCACCTCAGCCTCCGAAAGTGCTGGATTATAGGCGTGAGCCACTGTGCCTAGCCTTTTTTTTTTTTTGAGGCAGTCTCGCTCAGTCACCCAGGCTGGAGTGCAGTGGTACAATTTCGGCTCACTACAACCTCCGCTTCCTGGGTTCAAGCTATTCTCCTGCCTCAGCCCCAAGTAACTGGGGTCACATGCATGTACCACCACTTCCAGCTAGTTTTTCGTATTTTTAGTAGAGACGAGGTTTCGCCATGTTGGCCAGGCTGATCCAAACTCCTGCACTCAGGCAATCTGCCCATCTTAGCCTCCCAAAGTGCTGGAATTACAGACAAGAGCCACCGCACCCGGCCTTATGCAACCTTTTAATAAACATAAAATGTCATTAGAAACTTCCAAATAAATGTCGCAACCCCCCCCAAAAAAACCCAAACAATAGTCGTTATAGAATATGCAAATGACCATGCCCCACCCCCAGCAGATCTTGATAGACTCCCTTGGGTGGGAATCCTTGTCCAAGATATTGACACTTCCTTTCCTATCAGTGTAGCCCAGCCCATGGATGTACTCAGAATGGACAAGGGATGACATGAGTACACAGAGGGGCGGAATCTCTGCACGATGTGGCTATGGGCAAATGTGGCCAGCGTCTAGACTGTGCAAATGTGGTATTTCTCTGGGGCCACCAAGTGCACTTGGGGACCTATTCATGGTGAGGTCTCAACTCAGGTTTCCAGAAACTTGAATGAGGGCAGGAAGGTCAGAGGGAGAGCCTAGGAGGCTGGGCCAAGGAGCTTGGAGAGGAGAGGCAGGGTGAGGGCGGCAGCAGGCTTTCTGGAAGCAGGTGCCCCTTGGTGTGGTCAGCATCCGCGCCAGCACCCACTTCTCCTCTGATCCTCTCCATGTTTCCCTCCTGGAATCCAGAAGCTCCCTCTGACTCCCTATTAACTGCCTCTGCCCCCACCTCCTAGGTGATGCTTCTGGGAGACTCAGGCGTCGGCAAAACATGTTTCCTGATCCAATTCAAAGATGGGGCCTTCCTGTCCGGAACCTTCATAGCCACTGTCGGCATAGACTTCAGGGTGAGGTGGCTGCAGGCACCTGCTTCCAGCAGCGAGCCAGGGCTGTGGCTCAGGCACGGGGGTTGCCCTCCCATTGCTCACCCTGGCTCCCAGGGACTCCCAAGGCTCAGGGCTGGAGGGCACACAACCCACTCCCCCAGGACCACAGAAGTGGCCAGGTCAAAGTAGACTGGGCAGGGTTGGCTCCTTGCCCAACTACAGGATGCAAGAAAACAAGACTGAGTCTTCATGTCCACCTCCATTCCTGGGGGACTTCTCCCAAGCAGGGCAGGCACACACATGGCATAAGTGGAATATTTTGGCCCTCAGAGCCCCTGCTCCTCGCCCTCCTACCTGCGCCCCTTTGGCAAGACCTCAAAAGTCAAGCAGTCTTTCTGGAGCTCCTGGGAAGCACAGCCCTGCTCTGGGGTTTAGGAACTGGGCTTGGCCCAGTGCAGTGGTTCACACCTGTAATCCCAGCACTTCGGGAGGCCAAGGCAGGAGGATCACCTGAGGTCAGGAGTTCAAGACCAGCCTGGTCAACATGGTTAAACCCTGTCTCTACTAAAAATACAAAAAAAAAAAAATTGCCAGGCATAGTGGTGTGCACCTGTAATCCTAGTTCAAACCAGTAAAAAAACAAGTAAAACTAGTTTACAAAAAAGAAAACACCACCAGGTGCGGTGGTTCAAGCCTGTAATCCCAGCACTTTGGGAGGCTGAGGTGGGTGGATCATGAGATCAGAAGTTCAAGACTAACAGCCGGGGGCAGTGGCTCACGCCTGTAATCCCAGCCCTTCGGGAGGCCGAGGTGGGTGGATCACGAGGTCAAGAGATCAAGACCATCCTGGTCAACATGGTGAAACCCCATCTCTACTAAAAATACAAAAAATTAGCTGGGCATGGTGGCGCGTACCTGTAATCCCAGCTACTCAGGAGGCTGAGGCAGGAGAATTGCCTGATCCCAGGAGGCGGAGGTTGCAGTGAGCCGAGATCGCGCCATTGCACTCCAGCCTGGGTTACAAGAGCGAAACTCCGTCTCAAAAAAAAAAAAAAAGACTAGCCTGGCCAAGAAGCTGAAACCCCATCTCTACTAAAAATACAAACATTAGCCAGGCATGATAGCTGGCATCTGTAATCTCAGCTACTCAGGAGGCTGAGGCAGGGAATTGCTTGAACCCGGGAGGTGGAAGTTGCAGTGAGCCGAGATCGCACCACTGCACTCTAGCCTGGGTGACAGAGTGAGACTCCATCTCCAAAAAAAAAAAAAAAAAAAAAAGAGCTGGCTGGCCACGTGGAGAAACAGCAGCTCACCAGGGACCCTCCCTCTCACCTTGAAAACTCCATCTTACAAATCCTGTTCAGAGATGCTGAGTGCTACACACCCAAAGCATCCAATAGAGGAAAGATCTTACCCTGGCAGGTGGGGCTCTACAGCTTCAAGCAGGCAGAAGGCAAACACTTTCTTCACTAGAGAATTAGTGGGCAGCTAGAAGAAAGATGCCACTGCAGATGTAGCCTCAGGTCCCCAGGATGCAGGCAAGCACCCCATCTGCAGGGGCTCAGTCACAGTCCCAGGCCAGGCTCCAGGAGAGGGAGACCAAAGTGAAAAAAAGGGCAGGGCCTCTAGCAGCACCCAGGCCTCCAGCCCTGGGCTGCCTGATCCTGGAAAGAGCCAAGTAGCTTCTCAGGCTCCTCTTGCCCTGCTGTTGTGTGAAGGGCAGACACAGTCCCCAGAAGAGAGGACTCCACAGTGGAGGTGTCTGGGGACCAGGTTCCTGCTGCCCTGATGGTATGATGCAGCTGGAGATGGTTCTGGGGCTCGCTGTACCCACTCTAGGCCTGGAGAGGGACCAAGACAGGATGTGTGCAGAGCTGAAGAGCCACCCAACTCCTGCCCTCCCAGCCTCTGCCTTTTTCTCTTTCAGAACAAGCTGGTGACCGTGGATGGCATGAGAGTGAAGCTGCAGGTGAGACCAGATGCTGGGGTTAGGGAGGGATGGTGGAGGATCTGCCCTTGCTTCTCACCCTGAACCACAGGAGGCCTGTAGCCCTGCCCTCTGCCTGGGGTAATTTCCTGTGGGGCCCACAAGAGGAAATGGCTTTTGTTTGTCTGATGTCTGCAGAAAAAGCGGTTCCCAGGCACCCTCTCATCTATGAAAGGCAACTCAAAATGCCTTCAGTCAAGCTTAGCCTCCATCCATCTCCTCCCCAGCTGCCTAGGCTTTGTCTGCTCTTAGGAGGTGGGACATCCCCAATCCCTGGGCTGGGGGAGAGGAGATGATTCTGAATGAGCTTGAGAACGAAATAACTGCTACTCTCCAGGTCATCGGATGCTTAGGAGCTCATGAGAACCTAAAGAAGGAAACGGCCCCACCTTCCCACAGACATCTCATACCACAAAGCAGGCCCCCTCCACCCAGCATAGTCCTTGCACCCTGCCTCCTTCTAACCATTTCTCCATCTCTTCCCAGATCTGGGACACTGCCGGGCAGGAACGGTTCCGAAGCGTCACCCATGCTTATTACAGAGACGCTCAGGGTAAGTCCCTTGCACCCTCCATCCCCTACCCCAGCCCCTTGGTAGTACCCGTGCTACTGGCTAAGTCCCCTCTGTGATCCTCTCCCCCTCCAGCCTTGCTTCTGCTGTATGACATCACCAACAAGGCTTCCTTTGACAACATCAGGGTAGGTCCTCCCTTCCCCAGACTCCCACCCATAAGCAGCCACAGCAAGGTCTATGCAGGCTGAGGCTGCTTCTGGCCCTGTGGAAAGGGGGTGGAGCGTGGAATCCTGCTGTCTTCTGAAAAACACCTGCTTGGTGACTCAGAATTCATATCTGCTGCTTTGTATTTGATGGCCATGTGGGCATGAAAGCCAAGCAGGCAGTTGTGACCCTGTGCCACCTGCATAGCCCTCATTCTGATTCATGAAAGTGTTTTGTGACAAAGTGTTCAGAACGGCCCCCACTCCACCCTGGATAATTATCCTCAGAGACCAAGGGGAAAAACCCAACCAGAAAAGTCCACACATACATCCTGGGCAAGTTACAAGAAAGTGACTCAGTCAGGCAGAGTGAATGGCTATGTCCTCACAACCAAACTATAATAGAGACAAAAATTTGATAAATTTGAGCACCAATTCAGTGCACAACATTGTACAGGATTCATGAATTCCCTGACCTCAGGGACAGTTTGCTGACAAGCAAACTAGGAGAATAAAACATCTGTATAGAAAAAGGATGGAAAATCCATAGCGCTCATACTGCCACCTCCAACCCCATGCTTGTGGCAGACATCACTAATCGATCACAGTACTTTTGATCACTGAAACCCTTATGTGGTCTGAGAATCTTCAAGAGGACAAACCAAGAAATCACTGGTGACAAACAACTGATTTGTTAGATGAGGTCTCCATACAGCTGGATCTTCCACAGAACTGATAGTTGCACAGCATGAAATGGGGAGGGTGAAGCCATTGTGTGAGCCACAAGGAAGGCCACCCAGGCCTGGACAGGCCAGAACAAAGGTACAGATGAGAGAATCCACAGGGCATCATGTTCAAGGTAGTAACTGGGAATAGTCAAACCTGGCAGAAGAAGGAAGGGGCTGCGGGAGGAGAATGCCAGTCTCAGCATGCCTCTCCCATAGGCCTGGCTCACTGAGATTCATGAGTATGCCCAGAGGGATGTGGTGATCATGCTGCTAGGCAACAAGGTGAGTGGCTCCGGGGCAGGGTCAGCCCATCCCTGCACTTCCTCAGCCCTGGCCAACCTCATAACCACCCAAGAACAGTTGTCTAGGCATCCTTCCTGAAAAGGACTCTGCAGGCTCCAGCTCAGAGGTCAGACATATCTGGAGGCTTCTGCCCAGCCTACCTGCCCGCTTTAAAGCTCTGGAAAGTTCAACTTGTTGCCTGAGAAAGCAAGGGATGCCCAGTTCTCAGCCCCCTCAGAGCACAGTGAACAGGGTCCTAGGTCAGGGGCCAAGACTGCAAAGGGTTAGTCCCAACTGTTGTCCCCTTCCAAGACTGGGTCACCACACCCTTTACCAAAGGTGAGATCACAAGGCTGGTAGCAAATTGGGCAGAAACCCTGGCCCCAGGCCAATCACACCTGCCCGCAGTGCCTTGAGCTACCAGCAGAGGGCAGGCAGTGCCTACGCCTGGGGCAAAATATGGTCTGGCTGGGGCAGAGGCCTCCTTCTCCAGAGTGACCCATTTGGGCTTGACAGGCGGATATGAGCAGCGAAAGAGTGATCCGTTCAGAGGACGGAGAGACCCTGGCCAGGGTAAGTGACTGTCTGTGGGACAGGGTGAAGGGTGGGGGCAGCCGGAGGCTGACCCTGAGGACACACTTTCCCGGGCAGGAGTACGGAGTTCCCTTCCTGGAGACCAGCGCCAAGACGGGCATGAACGTGGAGTTAGCCTTTCTGGCCATCGCCAAGTGAGAGCTGAGCAGGGAAGGGAACTGTGCAGGGCAGGGTGGCACCCTCCAGGAATCCAGCAGGGCCCCGCCCCTGGACACACCTGCATTCTGCAGGCTCAGGTCCATTTGCTCCAGACCATGTGGAGCAGGGAGGGGGCTGGTCAGCTCCTCACCCCAGCCAGGCCCAGCCCAGCCCATTGCCTCTTCTTCAAGGGAGCTGAAATACCGGGCCGGGCAGTCAGCGGATGAGCCCAGCTTCCAGATCCGAGACTATGTGGAGTCCCAGAAGAAGCGCTCCAGCTGCTGCTCCTTCGTGTGAATCCCAAGGGGCAGAGAGGAGGCTCCGGAGGCCCAGGGGATGCAACCATCCCCCACAGGCCTGGCTTATTCCAAGCGCCTGAGCCAATGGGGAGAAAGATGGAGGACCCAGTACACAGCCCGTTCCTGCCAGGGAGCAGTACTCCAGCTCCTGCTTGAGTTCCTGCAGTCTCCCCAGCCACGGGGAGGGTAAAACACTTAGCTTTTATTTTAATAGTACATAATTTAGTACCAAAAACAGCACCTAGATGCCCAGAAAACCAAGGCTGGGACCTGGTGCCCCTTTTGCTTTCTAGGACTTGGGGGGTTGGGCCTCCCTCCTAGACATAACAAAGGTGGTGATGTTATGTCCCCAGCTCTGCCCCAGGGGACACAGATGCACTTTGGGGGTGAGGGCAGGTGCCCTCAGTTCAGCTGGAGAGAGGTTGAGCTGACCGCAGTCTTCACTGGCTCCTGCTCTACAGGAGCTTATCTGCGCCCCATCCCCCAAATACGTTAGCCTTTGTGCTGTGAGGGAGACCAAAGCCTGAGGGACGTTAAGAGATATGGGAGATGGGAGGGGGAAGCCAAAGAGCAGAAACTAGGGTCTGGCTGGCGACCTCTGGCCTTACTAACACCCCCCTGGAGGTGTGCCCCCTTTCTCCAGCACACAGCACATTGGGGCACCTGGAAATACTGGTTCCAGGCTCCTGTTCTCTGGACCTCAGATCCTGGGGAAGCTCCTTCTTGCTGAACCCCTGGCTTAGCTATCTTTCTGCCTGTGCCCCTAAAAACCTCAGGTCAGAACTAGGAAAAGACTTTTGCTTTTTATTTTTTTTGAGATGGAGTCTCGCTCTGTCACCTAGGCTGGGGTGCAGTGGTCCAATCTCTGCCCACTGCAAGCTGTGTCCCCTGGGGCTTAAGTGATCCTCCCATCTCAGCCTCCCAAGTAGCTGGGATTACTGGTGTGCACCACAATGCCTGGCTGATTTTTGTAGTTTTTGTAGACACAGGGGGTTTTGCCATGTTGCCTAGGCTAGTCTTGAACTCCTGAGCTCAAGCAACCTGCCGGCCTAGGGTGGGATTACAGGCAGGAGCCACCACGCCCAGCCTAGATGTTTCTTCTTATCCCAATCCTTTGGCAGGCATGCAGCTCCACAGGCGATTTCTTCAAACAGCTGAAGTGTTTAGCTTTCCTGGGTTAAGAGCCAGATAAGGAGAAATCCCTTTCCTAGGTTTGGAATGTGTTGTGAACAAAAAGAGAAATTCCTGGCTCCTGGAGCTAGTGGGAGACGAGACTTAGCAAACCCCACCCGACATTCATCCCTTTAAACCCAAGCTCTGCCTCCTCCCTGACCACCCATACATTTTTTTTTTTTTTTGGAGACTTGTCTCACTCTGTTGCCCAGGCTGGAGTGCAGTGTTGCGATCACAGCTCCTGGGTTCAAGCGATTTTCCTGCCTCAGCCTACCAAGTAGCTGGGACTATAGGCACATGCCACCACGCCTGGCTAATTTTTTGTATTTTAGTAGAGATGGGGTTTCACCGTGTTGCCCAGGCTGGTCTCAAACTCCTGAGCTCAGGCAATCCACCCACCTCGGCCTCCCAAAGTGCTAGGATTACAGGCATGAGCCACCATGCCTGGCCACCTTTTTTTTAACTTCTCAAACAGATACCGGGCCTAAACTGCTTTACCTCCCCTCCTACTCTGTCGGGTTAGGGAGTGGGAGGTCACCCATGAACGAATTAAACCAATGCAGTATGTGTAAAACAAGGCCATGTGGGTACGTCTGGGGTAGAGAGAGGGGTAGCAAGGAGTTGCTGTGGCCTCCTTGGTCACGTCTCCCAAAGCCCTGACCCCTGCCATTGGAAGTGGACAGGAGACATGAGGTCATGACCTACAGGCACCTTTTCTGCAGCTCTGTAGGCCTGGGGAGGGGGAGATAGGGAGGAAGAAGTAGGTGCTGCACATTTCTAAGGCTACTGCATTTGCTTTCAAGGCAGAAATCTTGCTCTGAGCAGTCAGCAGCTCCAATTTGGGCCTGATAAGGAAGTTCTCCATGGCCTCTCCCAGGCACAGCAGGGAGGAGCCTGACATTGCCAGTCTCTTCTGGGGCCCAAGGCAGGTTGCAGGAGATCCAATCACTTAGAGAGCTCTGGGCCTCTTGCATTTGAGTTTTTCAGAATTAAATTGCAGTATTTTGGAAAGCACATCCTGTCCACTGTTTCTTTGAAGTGTGTGTGGGAGGGGTGTCCTGTTGATGGAATTGTCATTCACTGCCAAAATCATTCCATCCTCCTCTCAGTGTCTCTCCTGAGGGTCAGTTCCCCCCTTAACAGACTCCCTACCTCTGTGACCAGCCTCTCTTTGGCAAGAGGGAGCTAAAGGCTTATCTTACAGTCCTAATCATTTTTCTTTCTCTGTTGGAAAAAAAAAAAAAAAAACCAAGGCTCTGTTCCCTGTGGAGTGTACCCAGAGGCTGATTATCTGAGTCTGTTCTGCCTCTCCCCATCCCACCTCCCTAGCCAAACGCTGACACCAAAGCCCATGCCATTGCCCTAGGTGTCCTGTCTTCAGTGAGTTGCCCCTCGAGGTCCCAGGCTCTCCACCGAGCCCGCACCTCTGCACCTTCCCAAGCAGGAATCAGAACCTGCACTCCTCTATGCGAGGAGTGCCAAGTGTCAGGCGGCGCTGCCTGACAGTGCAAAGTGGGTTAGCGTTAGAGTTCCCACAAACGGAAAAATGTTATTCAAACAACTCTATAGGGTCCGAGGAGGCTCTCAGTCTTAATTCTCAAGACTGCCTGGCCCTCGCTGCCCCGCGGGAGCCGTTGCCCCGGCAACAGCCGGTCCCCCTTACGCAGAGCTGCACCCATGCTTTGGCTAAAGGCTGTTAAAACGTTGGCCAGTGCAGTGGTTCACACCGGTAATCCCAGCACTTTGGGAGGCCGAGGTGGGTGGATCACCTGAGGTGAGGAGTTTGAAACCAGCCTGGCCAACACGGCGAAACCCCGTCTCTACTAAATCTACAAAAAAATAGCCGGGCGTGGTGGCGGGCGCCTGTAATCCCAGCTACTCGGGAGGCTGAGGCAGGAGAATCGCTTGAATCCAGGAGGCGTAGGCTGCAGTGAGCCGAGATCGCGCCACTGCACTCCAGCCTGGAGACAGAGCAAGACTCCGTCTCAAAATAAATAAATAAATAAGAAAAAAAGAGTCCCTTTACCAGAGGGCCTCTCCTCACTCCCCGCCACAGGCAGGGGAAACCAGGCCGGAGCCGGTGGGCCCCACCGCCCAGAACCGAGAACTGAGCGGGCCCCGCCCCTGCCACCCCAGCGCCGGCAGCTCGGCAACAAACACTTCCACTTCCTGAGCGCTCTGTCTTCGCCCGCCACTGGGCTCCGCGCCGAGGACAGGCCCCGCCCCACGCGTTTCCATTGGCCGGCGCCGTTCACCCGGCAGCAGCGCCCCGGCCCGCGGCCTCCGATTGGCTCGCGGAGTCCCACACCCTCTGCGTGGCCCCGCCCCCGGGGTAAGGAGCCTGGGCGGGCTCTGGAAAGCTCAGACGCCGAGCGAGGCGGGGATTGGTCCGCGCTCCTTTCTTTACTCCTCAAGGCTCGCGGCGGCCGGCGGTTCCCGGGACACCTGCTCGCTTCGCCGGTCCCGCGGCGCTGGGCTTCCCTGCTGCGTTCCCGGTTCTCTGGGCGGGAAGAAGGATTGAGCCGTCCCGTCTCCAACGGAACCCCGAGTGGCGCAGCTGAGTCGTCGCAGGGCGAGATGAGCGCGGACGCGGCGGCCGGGGCGCCCCTGCCCCGGCTCTGCTGCCTGGAAAAGGGTCCGAACGGCTACGGCTTCCACCTGCACGGCGAGAAGGGCAAGGTGGGCCAGTACATCCGGCTGGTGGAGCCCGGCTCGCCGGCGGAGAAGGCAGGGCTGCTGGCCGGGGACCGGCTGGTGGAGGTGAACGGCGAGAACGTGGAGAAGGAGACCCACCAGCAGGTGGTGAGCCGCATCCGCGCCGCGCTCAACGCCGTGCGCCTGCTGGTGGTCGACCCCGAGACGGACGAGCAGCTGCAGAAGCTCGGCGTCCAGGTCCGCGAGGAGCTGCTGCGCACCCAGGAAGCGCCGGGCAAGGCCGAGTCGCCAGCCGCCGCCGAGGCGCAGGGGGCTGGCAACGAAAATGAGCCTAGCGAGGCCGACAAGAGCCACCCGGAGCAGGTAAGCCGGGCCGGGGCGGCGCCGGCTGGAATGGGGTGGGAGGGGGATCGGGAGGGACCCAGGCGCCACGGCCGTCCAGCCCCGCGCCCGCCGTTGTCTTTCTGAAAACTCTAACTGCGAGGGGGAGACGGCTTCCGCCCGCCGACCAGGCTCCCTGGTAGATCCTAGGCAGGCCTGGGGCTGCGTCCCGCGACCTCTCTCCTTCCCTGGCTGTGCTGGGAGCCTGAGCGCCTTTGCCACCTGCACCTCTTGTTCCCTGGCCCTTGAGAGGGCAGCGCAGGGGAACCCAGTCCCCCTTCCCTCAGGTCTGTGTCTGCTCGTAATCCACCAATCCTGCCCCTCCCTGGCGCCCTCTCATCGTTCACCCCAGTCCGCAGATGGGCTCGGGAGGAAGGACTCTCCGCCCCAGAGGTGCCAGCTTCATCCACCACCCCTACTTCAAAAGCTAGAGGAATAGCCCTTCCTCCTCCTGTGCGGAGCCCCGGCGCGAGGTGGCCCTCCCTCAGCCCGCCGGTGTGTGCAATCAGCTTCAGCCCTGCTGGACTTCATCCTCCCGGAGTGCGGTGTAACTTCCAAGGGAGAGAAAGCCCCGCCATCTCAGGGCGGTGTGGGGGTGCTTGGCGGGAGGAGGAGTCAAGGCATCTCTGAGTGGTGGTTCTGCCACCCAGGAGGATTTACGACTCAGGAATGTGAGGAGTAAGCGCCTGTATCAGGGAGGGGAGGGGGAAGACCTTGGAAGGAGGGGAAGATGGCTGGGGGGAGGGGAGAGAGCTCTTGAGGCAAGTGGCGAGCCGGTGGTCTTGCCCTGGCCTTGCCACGCTCACTCGTGCCCACAGAGCCAGCAGGCCGGTTGCTTTTTGCCCATGTTTGGTGTTTGCCCATGGGATCCTGGTTTGGATCAGCTGCAGGAGGGGCAGCTGGCAAAACAGGAGTTGTGCTGAGTCTCCTGTCCCCAGAGAGTGGAGTGAGGAAGCTTCGGGTGCACACTGCGAAGGGCAGGGCCTGAGCCTCCCAGGGCCCCTTCAGCTTGCACCAGCTCTCCCTGGTGGCAGTGTGTGGTGGGAGTGTCCGTGGGGCCAGGAGGATCCTCCGTGGACAGAGAGACCACACAGTTCAGCATTAAGGTGGAAGGCAAAGCCCTAGGTAGGGGATCAACTGGTTAGGTGGAAGTGAGGTCACCAGAGACCTGTCCGGCCAGAGCTGGGTGCTGGGAATGCCAGGGCCACCAGGCTCCCACTTCCTGCCCCTGCCAAGCTGGCATTGGCAAGGGGAGGGGGAAGGGATCGGAGCACCCAGAGCAAGGGGTTGACACCAGAGGTTGGGGCCAATGATCTTTAATCCCAGGCAGAAATCCAGTGTGAACTTTGTGCTGAGTCCATCGATCGATTTGACCCTTTTTTTTTTTTTTTTTTTTTTTGGACTTTGGCACTCACGGATACCCCCACCCTACTGCAAGTTGCAGTCTCATTCAGCTCCTCCCTTTGCCCTTTTGGTTACGCTGCTGGGTGCCAGAGGGCCTGGGAGGCTCCTGTGGAGGCTTGGCGTAGCACACACACTCAAAAGCCGTGGCTTTGAGCTTCCTGGGTGAGCACAGAATTTGATTCTTGCAGGTTTTAGAGGGACACCTACATTTGTGTGTACTTCCTTAGACCAGGAGATGAGAGGAGAGCCACCAGCAAACCCTGGGGACACTATCACCAGCCAAGTCCCAGGATTTCTGAGCTCTGGTTCTCCCGTCTGTGAGGTGGAGGCATTGGATGATGTTATGCCTGCCTGCTCTAGAACTTTAGAAATGATGTGAAGTACTCAAGCCCCTTACTCAATACTGAGTTGCACTGCGTCATGCCCAGGCGTTTGAATCCCAGCTGCTTCAAACTGACTCACAGTCAGCACCACTGAGTCCCTCTAGCAGAAAATCCCACACCGTTCTGTGTGGAGCTTGCGGATGGCCCATGCGGTTATTGCAAGAAATGTTAACAAACATTGTAAGAGCTATTTTTTCTAAAACGCATCCCTTTCCTATATAAAGCATCAAATTGAGATTTGCCAGTTTGTTTTCATTTGAATTTGTGTGCAAGGTGGGGCTGTTCCCTTATCTTGATCAGCTCTTAAGTGAGTATCTCAGTGGAAAAGTGTGGCACAGAGAGTGGTTGGCTGGGTGGCCTCTTGGGAAGACCAGCTGTGTCCAGAACCACTCAGGACAGAGGCTGAGGAGTGCCTGTAGCACTGGCCATCCCACTGAGGAGTCCAGGCCCAAGGAGGTGGAAGTAGCTCTCCAGCTCTGTCCACCGGCTTTGCACGTGGCCTTCCCCGCATGCCCCATGGGGAGAGAGGAGCAGCAATACCCGCCCTGTGCTCCCCCAATTAAAGCCCTCCACCCCCCATTCACCACCAGTCACAGGATAAGGCCTAAACCCTTGAGCCTGAGTCTGCAGTGCCGGCCGGGCAGGCCTGAGCCAGCTCAGCTGTACTAGCCGGAATGTGTGGAGCCAAGTTACTTCACTTTGTAAGCCTCCATTTCCTCTTGTGTAAGTTGAGGGTGATGGCAGCTACCTCGGCATTGCACGAGGCTGTGTGTAAAGCAAGCAGCTCAGTGCCTGGCACTGAGTGCAGGTTCAGCCAGCCTTTGCAGTTGGTATTGGAATGAATACATATTTCACAGTGATCATTGCACACCTCTCCTGGGGCAGCTAGCGCTGGGTCAGCCTGCCTAACTGCAAGTGCCACTGTGGCCAAGCCTGGCACCCACCTAGTCAGTGCCCAATCGATGGTCACTGTTGATTAAGAATGATATGTTGTAGCCAGATGTGGTGGCTCACACCTGCAATCCCAGCACTTTGGGAGGCTGAAGTGGGAGGATTGCCTGAGCCTAGGAGTTTGAGACCAGCCTGGGCAACATGACAAGACCCTGTCTCTGTTAAATTTTTGTTTCTTTTTTTTTTTTGAAGAGTTCTATACTGTTCCATGGCCCTTCTCCATCTGGCAGCCTGTTCTCA